GCCACTGGGTTAATGGACACATAAGCGTGGTAGACACTGGGTTCACAGACACATACGTTGGTTGTCACTGGATTCCTGGACACATGAGCGTGGTAGCCACTGTATTCATGGACACATAAGCGTGGTAGCCACTGGGTTAATGGACACATGAGCGTGGTAGCCACTGTATTCATGGACACATGAGCGTGGTAGCCACTGTATTCATGGACACATGAGCGTGGTAGCCACTGTATTCATGGACACATGAGCGTGGTAGCCACTGTATTCATGGACACATGAGCGTGATAGCCACTGGGTCAATGCATATATAAGCGTTGTTGCCTTTGTGTTCATGGGCAGATGAACATGACTGATATTACGTTTCCGCAGAAACGAATATGGTAGCCATTGCATTTACGAGCATACAAACGCGGTGGCCACTACATTCCCCGGCATACAAACATAATGACCACTACATTCATGGGCATACAAACACGGTGGCCATTACATTCATGGGCATACAAAGACGGTGGCCACTACATTCATGGGCATACAAACACGGTAGCCACTACATTCATGTGCTTACAAACACGGTGGCCACTACATTTATGGGCATACAAACGCGGTAGCCACTACATTCACTGACATACAAAAACGATACCCAATGCCTTTCATCAGCTGATCTCAATGGGGTCGTGTACTTGACAAATTCACAATTACTTAAATTACTAACAACGCCGACCAGTGTTGCCACTTTGGATGTTTTACATCCAGATTTAGATGTTTTCCCTTGCATTTAGATGGTTGTTTTTGACGTTTAGATGTTAGATGTTTTTCTAGATGTTTTCATTTGGAGTCAGAAATTTTAGTGTTTTTTTTCAGTGTCACTTTAATAATAACTGTAAAATATTTAATACAATAATTTTGTTTTGGTCTGTGACAATTGCGATTACTTAAACTTTGAACTCTCCCTGGGGTCAACTCTAAAATATCTGGCTGTCTCGGTTCTGATTGATTAAAAGCGCGCGTAAATCATACCAACTTCGTTTCACCCGTAGAGGCTTCCTGAAAATCTAGATGTATTGAAAAACATTTCACTCTTTTCTGTGAGCAAAATACTTCAGCCAGTAAAGGACATACCTAATTATTGCAAAGCTATGAACTTTTAAGGGGCTACTGATTCTGCGAAAGCACAATATCAGTAAACCGATATAAACTTAGTTGAATGGACAAACAAAACAGAAACTGAAGCGTTTTGGAGTAAAGTGAGACAATTTAAAGATGCCTCATCAAACAGTCCATTCTGTAAGCTTTTTAAATGTGCCATGTCTGCCATGATACTACCCCACTCAAATGCTGACGTAGAAAGAGTTTTCAGTGCTAGGAATTATATGACTGGCTGACTTTCTACCCCACCAGGACATCACACAAGCGATAAACACCCGATGACACAAAGTGCCACCATGTGGATAAGGATCACCGTGGAGAGGTCCCAGAAACCGCGTTCAGACAATTGGCCATATTTATGGCCTGTCTATATTGCGGCCCCTGGCAAAAGCCAGAGTGGGGCTTCAAATAACAAAAAATTAAGTCCTGAAAAGGACGTAATTAGCGAATATATTATGAATTTTATAAAATATAACCTCAGAAATAGGATGAAATTTGACCTCTTAAATGCTATTTTGACAATAAAATTCGGTCTGGTGAGAGTAGTAAAATGCTGTTCCACTTATCAGCTCACTGAATGTGTATTAAAAGAAATTGGAACAGCTAAAGCATACCAGAGTCATTTTGGATCTGAAGCTTCAAGTTCATTATCCAAGCTAAGTTTATCCTGTTGATCTTGTGAGGCAGACATTAGTGAAGATGAGGACATGATTCTTTAGGGTAAGTCATATCAATAGCTATGTAATTTGTGACTCTTTCCGTTTGGATGTTTTTCTAGATGTTTTCCGTGAAAGTTTAGATGTTTTTAGATATTTTGTGACTCCGTTCTGGATGTTTTTTGTCAAAGAAAAGTGGCAACACATACGCCGACACCTTGCTCAGTTCTCACGCTGAAGCCCATCCTATATTCGTGTATATGAAATTATCAAGTTCAAGAGGCAAGCCTTTACAGATGGCCATTTTGGAAACGTAAATGTGAAACTGCTAAATGCTAGAAAAGAACTTTTTCACAAATTTCCCAGCATAAGTGCACGGCTCAACAAGTAAACGAAAACAATCATTGAAAGACATACAGTAATTGTATTGAAATCGCCCGAACCCTGAAAAGTGCCTGTGTTTGCTGGTGTGAGTCACGTTCAGGAATGAAGTAAGTCTTGATTTCCAAACATAAATTAGTCACCATGGAAATGAGACGTATGAGAACGGGCGCATGAGTGACAGGGGGAGATAAATAGGGAACAGGGTCATAAGATAAGAAGTCGGCAATCAGCCAATGCCGAATCACATACAAAGAGAGTAAAATAGAATGACTGGCCCATAAAGAGTGCTTTGTGATGTCATGATGCTATACTGGGATCTCAGTTGAAACACACAAGGGCAGTATGAATTATAAAGTAAATAATGTTCAAATAAATATAGGGTGCTTCGTTAATATCCTACCCCAGATGACGTCACATGACGGTCAAATATTTTAGAGGATGGTGAAACTTGGTTTCCTGGCTTTCTGATGCTTTTAACGACCCCAAAGCATCTAGAACTGGCCCTAACCCCAACCCACCTACATCCCACGAGAGAGGGCAGCCTAGGTCCCACGACTGAATGCAGCCTATCTACAACCCGTTGAAATAAGCCTGTTCTGTGACATGTGGATTTTCCCTGTTTGGGATAAGATATTAATAAAGTACCAAATATAGTTAGTAACGTTAATGCCTTAATTAAATGTATATTTTTAACTAAATGTAGATTGTTGTACTTGAATAAATGAATATTTATGTGCTTGAATTAACGCAGATTTGCGTACACATAAAAAGTAAGACATCCACTGAGAATTGGCTTTAAGGCGTCTTTTGGGGCAACAATTTGCCATTACGGGCTGTCAATTATGGCAGAATGTTATGGTTGTTCGTCAGTTTCCGGAGTTCGGCCTTGTTCCAGGACTTGAGGTTTGTGTGCACATCCGTTTCACATATCTGGTCTATTTGTGTGCAGGGTGTTGGTTCCTCGCCTATAACGCAGATTCACTACGACATCAAAGAAAATGCTGATAATTAGTTGCTTAGTACGACATGCTTATTAAGGAGGCAGTGGGTCTATCCCTCCTCCCACCCACCAACCCCCCCCCCCCCTCACCGCTTATTTATATCAAATCGGTCTATTTCAGGGAAAGATAGAAGACATAAAAAATCGCTAACAAATAAAAGAAGCACACAACACAAACCACATGGAATTAATTTAATGTAAATTGTAAACAGCAAACAGGGACTAAATGAGAAACAATACCAAGAAACGGCCACTCACGCACAGTTTTTAGCTGTGCACTTTGGCCCATGAGGTGTACACAAACATATATTGCACTCGTCCCAGTACTTCTGCCCTACAGTAAAACGTCCACACAGGTCCAATCCTAGAAAGGTAGGCGTCAGATCGATTGGTCCAACTCTGGGTAAAAATAATTCTGGCGGTGGACGCTGCATGGGTCGACCGGATCTCTGGTCGTTGTCGCCAGTATCTGGTGGGAAACTGACCCTTACAGGAATAACTGGCATGGGTCTGGGACAGCGGGAGATGTCGCAATGCTTTTTCCCATCTTTATCACACTGGCAACGCTTACATCGATCTAACCACCGACTCATTGGTCTGCATTCGCCAACAACCACTTGTGTTGTTCTTTTAAAATCTGTATTTTCTCTAACTTCTACTTCTTTACTCGTAGTTTCCTTGCCGTCTTCTCTACTCTCCTGATTATCATTGTCTTTTTTAACGTTAAAATTCACGTCTCCAAGTGTGGCATTGTTTTCTTGTCTGATAATGACACCCGGATATCTCGTAATACCAACATCAAGTTCCAGCACATTGTCCTCATTTTTATTACCTCCGCTTGTAGTTCCATTCTCAGATATATTGTCTCGGTTATTAATCCCAGTGTGAATTTTGTCACTGTTATTATCTGAGACAGTTTCATTATTGTTACTTCCGGGGCCAATTTCTTTATTGCCATTGTTATAATCAATCTCTTGTGAGTTGTTCTCGGGGACAGTAATTAAAACTGGCTCTTCCAGTTTATCGTCAATCTTGATTTTTCCATCAGTATCATCAACAGTAGTGATGTTGGCACCATCTGTAATGATATACACATCGACTTCTCGACCACCAACACCTGCAGAACCTTCTTCTGCGTCAACACTTTCTTTATCAACGTCTTCCAGAGATGTCACGTTTTTATCAAACACGACCTTTTGTTCTTCCTGTCCAGTGAACTCGTCCGTGTGACCTATTGAACTCTGACCTTTACTGCCGACAAAATCATCTTTTCTGTCAAAATGGTTTCCCTGGTCTGGATGCACGGGCAGCGGTTTGATGAGGAATGGCAGAGGGCAAGAAGATGAGCGCCTGCAGAGGATCACCCCTCTGACCTGACATTCACAAGCTCTGCAGGTGTCGGCGTCATCCCACGCTTGACCTAGATGTGGATACAGGAAGTGTGAAAGTACCGATAAACATAATATTCATGTGTCTTATTACATGATTAAATTTACAGCGTTATCAGTTCCTTCAGCAGTCAACCAACAGCCTGTCCACGCATAAATCCATCCACCCCCCCACATACACACACACACTCACACACCCACACACCCACACACACAAACAGACATCTAACAAACCCATTAGTCATATCCATGAACACACACTCACACATCTATAAACACACTTCTACACACCTATAAACCCGCTTCCACACATCCATCGACCCATTCACACATATCCATTAACCCACTCACACACATCCATTGACCCAGTCACACACATCTATAAACATACTTCTACACACCTATAAACCCGCTTCCACACATCCATCGACCCATTCACACATATCCATTAACCCACTCACACACATCCATTGACCCAGTCACACACATCTATAAACATACTTCTACACACCTATAAACCCGCTTCCACACATCCATCGACCCATTCACACATATCCATTAACCCACTCACACACATCCATTGACCCAGTCACACACATCTATAAACCCACTTACACACATATATGAACCTACTCACATACATATGTGAGCCAGCTGTCACAAATCTATGAACATACTCGCATACAGCCTCTAAACCACTCACAGACATCTATGAACCCACTCCTACACACCTGGCGGTCCACTCGCACACATCTACTACTCACATACATCTAATGCATCTATGAAACCTATTCACATCCTTATAAACTCACTTCCACACAACTGTCAGTCCACTGACACACAATTACCAACCTACTCACACATAGCCAGCAACCCACCCATACATATCCAGCAACCCACTCACACATAGCCAGCAACCCACCCACACAAAGCCAACAACCCACTCACCCATGAATCAAACGTCCCAACTGTAGCATTCACACCCGCTCGGCTACAATCGTTCCTGTTTATTTACTTCACTGAATTCATACATACCCACTTCACAGGAAGCTGGCTCCAAACGAAAACCGTCGATCCGAGATGCCACAAAGCTAGGATCACCGCACGTGATGGAGTTCTCCAGGCCACAGTAGCAGCGCAGGCTGCCACCGTACCACCGCACACCCCATCTGAGAAAGTCAAAAAGTATTCGTTACAAAGAATTACAGTTTCGCGATTAGATATGATTGTTCTATTTATCGTTGCTGTTTCTAAGCACACATTTGTTTTAAGGAGATGAAGGAATGGAAAGAATGTGGTGGAGGTCTTGCGCCTTAGAATATAAGGCCGCAAGGATGACGCATTTGCCACGAATTGTGCAGGCTAGAATGTTAATTTCGCCCCCTACCCCCTTTCCCTATTTTTAAACCTTACTGAGGATTCTAACCTGGGTCTCCAGCATGAGTGTCCAGCATTACAACAGTTTAGCCATTTGCTCTTTTTTCTTAATTGGCAAGGTGATACTGTTGTTGTTTGGGGATCCGTGGGAGACTGGGTGTTTCAACTTTTATTTCTTTCAGTTTCACAGACATTTGCAGCAGCAGATGCAGTATCTGTGCGTATGCCCAGAGTGGTTTGACATATATCTTTCGGTCAGTAAACTGTGAGGCGGCTAATGAAAGTAGAACATTATATGCACCAATGAGAAGGAGACAAACAAAGTTCTTTATTCATGTGATGACAAAAGCAACAGTAGAAAATATTGTGACGACTGGAAAGATCACTGGTAGAAGGGGCAGAGAAAAGCCAAGAGAAATGATGGTGGATGGCTTAAGACAGTGGCATGGAGGGATACTATCAGTAGAATTGATCCAGAAATCAAAAGACCAAGATCTGTGGCGACGCATCAACGTCTTCACCAGCTGGCAAGGCACTTGATGATGATGATGAAACTATGGGGCAAAGGTAGAAAATTGGCTGTTCAATTAAGAATGGACATCATAGCACTCTGGCATTCCAATAAGTACTCCATCATTCTCTTCAGCAGCAAGCACTGTGTTAAAATTCCGATGACACACGTAACTGGCTGTATGCCCGTCTCGCCTTTACCTCAAGTGTTGAGCCCCTGGTAACTTCCTGCACTGTCCTCAGACTGTGCTGATCTATTTCTGGCTCTGCACTTTCACTCTCTCCCAAAGGATCCTTACAACAGCTAGTTTGGCATGCCTCAATTCGCCACCAAGTGGTTCAGAACCACCCTTTTAGTAAATCACTTTTACCTTAACAATTATGTCTAGGAATGACGTCAGATAATAAATATGAAATAGATATTTGAATGTATTAAGGGCGAATTGGGACGCAGAGGGAAATGTTGGCCAAAATAACAAATTGCTTAACCTGTGCGAGGTGAGAAAACATGAGAATCACAAGTGTGGCGATCTAGAGCATGGGTGAGACAGGTTATTTAACGCCTGGAAAGATCTAGAACAGGCAGTCTCGTTCGGGTTCAGGACCATTGTGTTTGTGGAGGAAGTGTTTGCGGAATGAGTCAAGTTATAAATGACGGAGTGCATCAGATTTGGCTGCAAGTTCTCATGCCCAACCTGGCCATCGGTTTGGTCTGACTTGTGTCGTCAAGGCTGAACGTGTTTTGATTATTCGTCGAGGAAAGTTGTCATTTTAATCTGTCGTGGTGCGAATGAACATTTGTTTCTGGTGAAGGTGACGTTATTCTATTTGAAGTATTGCTGTTAGTGATCGCCCAGACTATGTTTCAGCCCCGACATAAACTGGCCGAGGAACCAGCGGTTGTATGAACAGCAATAAACAGTGTCAACGAGTCGTTTCGTTCTCACCGTCCATTCTTCACCTGTTCAGGCATGCGTCAGTGTACAGTTGAGGAGACTACAAGTGACTGGAGCCAAGACTTAGTGTAAATAGAGTAATTGCACCAGTCTATCTTCCTGTTCGTTTCCAAGCACACCAGAATTACCCAAAGAGAATATCCAAAGGACGCTAACTACCCGGGACCTCTGAAGCGATATTTGCCACTCTGAGTTAAAGTTACAATGGGGATTTAATGGAGAAGAATGGGACAGAAAAGATTAGGAAATGTATACAATGTATAGAAAAGCTGATATATGTATAGTCAGTCGTATGGTGCAGGACCGAGTTACAGGACCACAAGTAAAAATTGTATGAAAAAAAAAACGGTATCTCCTTCAGTCCCAATCAATGCAACATGTGTGGCTTTACTCAAATGCACTAGTTAACATATTATGTTTGTATATTGTGTGTTTAGTCGTGTCTTACTAAAACACTATACACATTTGTCTCCCACGAGGGATGTGTATTTGGACCCTGTGGATGTAGTATACCCATAATAATTTCGCAGCTACCTTACATGTGCATCAATTTTGACTGCAAGGGATGGGAAGAGTCAAGATAGAGAGAATACGAAAGAAACACTTCGACCGTGCTTAAAAAAGAAACAAAACACTGAGATACAGTGTGAGAACCTCCGAGTTACAAGTCTGTGCTAGAAAACTGTAGAAACAAAACATGGAGATATAGTGTGGGAACCTCCGAGTCACGAGACTGTGCAGGAAAACTGTAGAAAGAAAACATCAAGATATAGTGTGAGAACCTCCGAGTTACAAGTCTGTGATAGAAAACTGTGGAAACAAAACATTTAGATACAGTGTGAGAACCTCCGAGTTACAAGTCTGTGCTAGAAAACTGTAGAAACAAAACATCTAGATATAGTGTGGGAACCTCCGAGTTACAAGTCTGTGCTAGAAAACTGTAGAAAGAAAACACTGAGATAGTGAGGGAACCTCCGAGTTACAAGTCTGTGCTAGAAAACTGTAGAAACAAAACATGGAGATATAGTGTGAGAACCTTCGAGTAACGATACTGCAGGAAAACTGTAACGATCTTCAAGAACAAATATGAGACCAACAGAGTCACAACACTGGTAAAAAAAAAAAAAAACTGTATGGAAATAAATTCACAGGAACGTGTGAAATGCGAGCAAACAATGTCAAATATGCCACTAACGTCACGGTTGGGCCAGGTCAGCGACAATTATGTCAAATCTTTGTCGGGTACATTTGTGTGCACTCCGAGACATCGTTTCAATCTCTAACTGTGCAATTTCGGGCGTGTGTCAAATTCCTTCACGTGCTATGATTTCGGGTTTTTAATGTTGACCTGTCCTGGCTGTTGTGAGTCTGAGGGTGCTTTATTTAGCGTTATCTCCTTCTTCCTCTTCGTTTCTTTCTTCGCACTCACCAGATGTGAACGTCGTAGTCATTTTGAACAAGATAGGGGCGTGGCGATAGAGGATAAATATGAGACAAGAATGAAGGAGGCAAAGAAAAAGAAGAAGCAGCAGCAGAAGCAGAAAAAGAAGAAGAAGAAGAAGAAGAAGACGAAGAAGAAGAAGAGGAAGAAGAAGAAGAAGAAGAAAAGAAGAAGAAGAAGAAGAAGAAGAAGAAGAAGAAGAAAAGAAGAAGAACAACAATAACAACAACAAGAGGTGCACCATGAAGAAGAAGATTACAGCATCTATCGGCTTTTAGCCACATCTAGCAAACAACTCACCTGCAACGATTATTACTAGCTACCAACAGCGATGTCGATGCAGAATGTGCCAGGTTGTCTGTCGATGTTTCATCGTTCAGATACTCTGTATCTAAGGTATCTTCTTTCAACATGTCTGCATTTTTCTTGAATGTATTACCCTCATTTAAACCCACCAGCCCTATATATTCATCCAATTCCTTTTTTTTACGACTTGCAAATATATCAAAACTGTCTTTGTATGCTTTCTTGTACACCTTAGCATTAGGAACGTTTACATCTTTGGAAATAAAGGACTCTGTCCTCTCATTGTTTGGGTCAAGCTGATTTTCTCCATTAGATTTGACATCATTGTCAAAGACACTGGCTGAATCACCCCAGAATGTCTGGTCCGCATTCTGATTTTGTCGCCTCCCTTGAGATCCTTTGCCGGACAAATTTTCTTCAAAATGCTTTCTGGAATTCCTTTGGTTATGACTAGAAGGACGGCGTAAGTCTATCGCAGATCTGCGTTTGGAGTGTTGCGAAGCACGACCACGCGCAGAGATGTATACTTGAGGGGAATGGTTTTTATTGCGTCTGGCATGGCGTTTGACTAGAAAATGAAGACGCTTTTTATACTGTTCATTACTGAGATTTTCTGCAGTTTCGTCGGGGTGGTTAATATACAAGGAATCGGTGTAGAATTCTGGTCTGTCGTGTCTGTTACCACTCTTACTTGCATAAGGTCGGTCATAGTAAACAACTCTTGGGGATATTAGTGAGGCAACAGCTGGGAAAATGGGATTTAATCCTATAGTAGTTGCCGGGTGTGCGTTTCTGTCGATGACTTCGGCTGTGCAAGAAGGGACGCCGTCTGCTCCACAAATACATCGGCCATCTTTGGCGTCCAGACAGGCATCATGGGAGAGGAAGTCTAACGCATATCTTTCACTGCGCATGAGCAGGAGACAAGTATCATCAATGGAGCACTCTATGCCGTGATGATAACATTTGCAGTGATAACAGCCGTCCCACCACCTGGAGATATACACATGATAACAGCTGGTTAATAAATTTGTAGCAAGATTTCATCACAACAAAAGGTTAACAAATGTTTCAAAGGTTTCTCGCCTCTCGATAATGTGAGAATCGCCGTGACGTAGCAGCTAAATAGAACCGAAGGTCTGGGTTCAAGTCCTGACGCAGCCATACTTTTTTTTCTTCAGAAATAACCTTTGTTTTCAGGTCGAACCAACCTTAAATGGGTAGGAGGTAATGTCTGGAAAGTAAAGGCGGCCGGCGTTATGTTGACGACATCATCTACCAAATGAATATTGTTCTATAAAAGTCAAGTCTAGCCATGTTTGACCAAACCGCTGGATAATGTGGGCTTTCTCATACTTTTTTCCCCCAGGTTTTTTTAATGAGTGTCTTTTCCAACTGTGTCTATGATACTGTAAGAATATCCCCATAAAAATTAAGTTCAAAGGACGTCACATTCTGATGACAAACTCTCAAGTACAAGCCATAAACATCGGCATGTTATATAACGACATACACAGCAAATACACGACCCCAAAAACATGTAGACCTTTGTTATTGAGGTTAAAACCAGCAATTCGACAAACTCCGACAAGCCACAAACATCTCAGCGTCAGCCACTTAGGTTAGAATCAACAGAACAGCAGACGTAACTGAGACAACAGCATTGACAAAATACCTGCGCCTCGCTTACCGACAGTCGTGCACTCGGGTTGCACGAAATTTGTTTTTCGTTTCACAAACAACGACATCGAAACGCCTGTTATACGTCTCGATTATCTCCCCCCGACATTTCGTGGCACATTCGTTGCACCTGAGTGCCAGAATGAAATCTGAGATGACATATTTTGTATTGCACATGTCTTCTTCTTAAAAGCAAGATCAGTTTATGTGTGTTCGTTTTATTGTTTTATTTATGTATTATTTTCTTTTTGCGTCATTCTTTTAACCACTATTATCAGTTTTGAAATATAAACAGTTATTTCAGGGGATACTATTATTAGGAATAAATTCCTAAACAGATTATATCCTGCGGTTTAAAAAAATCGCATTATAATGAAGACTAGTTCTAGCAAATACGACATTCCAGCAAAAAACATCCTGTGCACCTTAACCTTGTTAATCATCATCGTCATCATCATCGCGTAACACTGCGTGTCGTTGGGCCACCAGTTTCTGTTGACTGTCTGATCAGCTCTCTCCACCTTTGGCGGTTAGTTGCTATGGACTTCATGTTTGCATGCCTGAGGCGTGTCCAGTCAGTCAGTTTCTGTAACCAGGTCTTTCTTGGTCTGCCTCTTCTCCTCTTTCCCTCTACTGAGCCCTGCAGTATTGTTTTTGAGAAGCCGTTAGATCTTATGACATCTCCATACCATTACATGTTTCGCCTTTTCACTGTAGTTAAAAGAGGTTCATAGTTGCCAATGTGCTGTATAATTTTATGGCGAACCTCTTCGTTTGTACCTTGTCCACGGAAACCAGAATAAGAATTGTAATTTGATATATTGTCATCATCAAGTGCCTTACCGACTGACGTGGGCGATAATGCCTGTCCACAAACTGTGATCTTTAAAAGCGTGTATCCTTTAGGCTGTTGACATCCCTACATGCCTTGACAAAATATTGTTGAGAATTGTATCATGCTGTCTTCTTGTGTTTCTTTTTCCACAGATCTTTCCAGTGTCCATAACACGTTCTTGTTTCCTTTTTCTCATAACATGACCAAAATATGATAAATGTGTTTTATGGATGTTTGTGGGAAGTTGTCTTCAAGACCTTCGAGGCCGTGATGTACTGCACCTTCAAACCCCCATTAAGGCGATGCTGATGGTAAAACTGATTATGAGGTGGAGATGATGATGATGATGAAGATAATGATGGTGCTGACAATGATTGTGATGATGATCCTGATGATGACAAACATGTTGATGTTGGTGGTTATACTAAAGATGATAGTAATGATGATGATGACGATGTAGTTATTCACGGTAGAAAACCCGTGGCGCCCAGATGCGGTTGGAGCCAACTGACGGGACGATCCATCCTTCTCATCGGCTGGCATGTGGCAGACAACTACACTCCGTGAAGTGGCTTCCTGGTGTACATTCTCTCTTCGTGTTTGGGGGTTGTCAGTGTCTGTCCATCCGTCCATCCATCCATCCATCCATCCATCCATCCATCCATCCATCCATCCATCCATCCATCCATCCATCCATCCATCCATCTACCTATCTCTCCACCCACCCATCTTATATCTATCTATCTATCTATCTATCTATCTATCTATCTATCTATCTATCTATCTATCTATCTATCTATCTATCTATCTATCTATCTATCTATCTATCTATCTATCTATCTATCTATCTATCTATCTATCTATCTATCTATCTATCTATCTATCTATCTATCTATCTATCTATCTATCTATCTATCTATCTATCTATCTATCTATCTATCTATCTATCTATCTATCTATCTATCTATCTATCTATCTATCTTATCTATCTATCTATCTATCTATCTATCTATCTATCTATCTATCTATCTATCTATCTATCTATCTGTCTATCTATCTATCTGTCTAATTTATCTATCTATCTATCTATCTATCTATCTATCTATCTATCTATCTATCTATCTATCTATCTATCTATCTATCTATCTATCTATCTATCTATCTATCTATCTATCTATCTATCTATCTATCTATCTATCTATCTATCTATCTATCTATCTATCTATCTATCTATCTATCTATCTATCTATCTATCTATCTATCTATCTATCTATCTATCTATCTATCTATCTATCTATCTATCTATCTATCTATCTATCTATCTATCTATCTGTCTGTCTGTCTGTCTGTCTGTCTGTCTGTCTGTCTGTCTGTCTGTCTGTCTGTCTGTCTGTCTGTCTGTCTGTCTGTCTGTCTGTCTGTCTGTCTATCTAATCTGTCTGTCTGTCTGTCTGTCTAATCTGTCTGTCTGTCTAATCTGTCTGTCTAGACTGTCTGTCTGTCTAATCTGTCTGTCTGTCTGTCTGTCAAGCTGTCTGTCTGTTTTTTTATCTGCCTGCCAGCCTGTCTGTCCGTGCGTAGGACTGTCTATCAGCCTGCCTGCCTCTCTGTCTCCTGGGACAATCGACTCGTATTTTTTTTTTCTAAGCCGTGCAGCGGTCAAGTGCTTTGCCAACTGTCGTGGGCGAACATGCCTCTCCGCAATCTGCGATCTGCAACTGCGTGTATCAGTTCGTGTGCTGACGCCCCTCCACGCCATGACAGAAAACTGTCAAGAATCTTCTCATATTGTCTTCCGTTGTCTCTCTTTCCACAGATCTTTCCGGTGGCCACAACATGTTCTATTTCCCCTCTTCTCATAACATGACCAAAAATGATGATGTCTCTTTCTGATGTCTGATAAGTTATCTCCGAGCATCTACCTCTTTCACAACATCTGGGTTGCTCTTCTTAGCTGTCCAAGGAATTCTAAGGATTTTTCTGTACAACAGCATCTCCGAGGCTTCAATATATTGTTCGGCTTGTTTACTAACTGTACAGGCTTGACAGCCGTATGTTAAAACTTGTTCTATATAGCGTATCAGAATTCTTCTCCTAACCTCCATTGGCGTGACTGACTGACTGACTGACTTTTTACCCCACCAGGACATCACACAAGCTATAAACACCCGATGACACAAAGTGCCACCATGGGGATGAGGATCACCGTGGAGAGGTCCCAGAAACCGCGTTCAGACAATTGGCCATATTGATGGCCTGCCTATATTGCGGCCCCTGGCAAAAGCCAGAGTGAGGCTTCAAATAACAAAAAATTACGTCCTAAGAAGGACGTAGGGAATAATGACGTTATCCAATGGCGTGGATTTTTTGCACAAAATGTTCTTCGTTTTATATATTGCAGTTTCGGCCTGTCTTACTTTATTCTTTATCTATGTGATACATCTTCCATCGGATGTTTCCCATGTGCCTAGAAACTTAAATTTATATGCTAGTTCTAAAATAACGCCTTTGATTTTTATTATATATTTAGGCACTATTCTTTTCTTGGAAATCGACCATTACTTCTGTTTTTGCATTATTCGAACTGAGGCCAATTGTTTCCCTTTCTACCACGGCCGTATCAAGACGGTGTCACCAGCATAACCCAGGCTGTTTATGTTATGAACACTAACCACAATTCCTGGCATATCCGTGATCGATCTCATTATATATTCACTGTATAATGTAAACAAATCAGGCTATAGTACACACATCCTTGTCTTGCTCCTCTCTTTATGATCTCCAATGTTCCCAACCGTTTATTAAATCTTATAGCAGCTGTTTGCTGCCAGAACATGTTCCTATAATTCGCAATTTGTTTTCCATCAATGTTTAACTTTTCCAATGGTTTGATTGTTTCCTAATGTTTCACACAATCAAACGCTATCGTGTACGCATTGAAGCGTAGGTAAACATCGTTTTTTACTTCTATAGCTCTTTCCGAAAGAGTCCTGAGGATGTATATGGCATTGTTTGTACCTTTTCGTTCAACATTGCCACATTGTTCTTCGCTATTTTCTGGTTTAATTTGGTTCTTATTCTTCCCATAATTATTCTCAGTAATATCTTTGTCACATGACTTGTAAGTCTTATCTTGCGATACTCTTCATATTTTAAAGTGCCTGGTTTCTTTGGCAAAGCAATAAACATAATTCTTTTTGTAGGCTATTAGGAATGTCTAAGTCGATGCGAACGCTTCGTAATGCCGTAGTGCCGGGTTCGATCCCAGCTGCGGGCCATGCGCCTTGCGTTGGTTTCGACAGTGGTATCAGGGTGCCGACCGTCCAGGAAGCAATGGCAAACTACTGGACGTAAATTTGCCTAGAGAAACCACACAACAGCCAGGGACTGCTGGGGTTAGTTCTGCAAACGTCCTGTAAAGGATGCGCAACTAACCTTAATTAGGAATGTACCCACTGTTATAAATAACAGTAATCTA